TGAGGATACTGGGAGCTGGAGTCCAGAAAAAGCAACTTTCTTTCAAAAGCCAGGCATCAGGTTTTGGGGGCTGAGTCAGGGGTGAGAATCATGTGAACCTCCATCATGTGGATGGAGTGCAACTCCCATCAGCCCTAGGCAGTCTAACCAACGATGAGGGATGATGGGAGTTGCAACTCAACCCTATCTGGAGGACCTCATGACTCCCACCTGTAGCACACTGATTGTGTAGCTCAGTGATCCCCAAACTTTGGTCCTCCAGGGGTTTTGGACTTCGACTCCTAGAAGCCCCAGCCAGGTTGGCCAATTGTCAGGAATTCTGGGAGCTGAAGTCCAAAAGATCTGGAGGGCCAAAGTTTGGGAATTGCTGGTTGTAGCTTATGGTGTGTTTCCTACGATTTGTTAGATGTGGCGACACGATCAATGCAAAGCTTTGGTGCCCCAACCAAACCTCTGTATGTTTGGTTGGGGCGTATATTCATTTTATATTGTTATTGTTTTTATACATTTTATTTATAGCCCGCCTCTCCCTGCGGATTGAGACAGGTTACAGCAAGTAAGAATAACAATAAAATACAATATATAATTCCAATCAACATTTATAAATAATCTCCAACCCTAACCCCCTTCCCAATCATAAAATGTATTATTATTATTATTATTATTATTATTATTATTATTATTATTATTATTATTAGAAACATAAATGACATTCATGTTTAGATCTGAGTCCCATCTCCAAGATGCCTCATTATGTATATGCAAATATTCCAAAATCCAAAAACCTCCAAAATCCAAAAGACTTCTGAGACTTCATTTTGAGATAGGGAGACTTCACCTGTACATTTTTTTAAAAATACAGTGAAAATAATATGCAGCCAATCTGTGGCCAGTTCGGCCAATCTGCATTCTCATTTCCTTCAGTACTGCCTAGTCTTTCCTCCAAATTCTTTGCTGTTTCTTTTTTCAAAAGGCCGGTGAAGATGAGACTGAAGACATTCTGGGGGCTACAGGAGCGCTGGAAGATCTTGGATGGAGCCTGCCGGGTTTTCTGCATCAAAAGGACCTTGAAAACAGGTGATGTTCCATAACCA